AAGTTGTGAATGATTTCATATAAGTTGGTACTTATATATGCAGAAAAACATCGGCAAGAGGTTTAAGTGTCAAAAGACACATTTGGGACGTAACTCGAATGAGAATGGACGCATCTAGATGCTATCTTAGGGTCACCAAGGGCCGTAGGTCGCCGGCCGTGGCAATCTACGCATTTGTGCGGCGAGCACGTACGAGCTAATCCGACTTTGGAATCGAGTTTATTTTTTTTTTATTTTTTTTTTATTTTTTTTTCTACTCGTCTCCAACAAACCCTTATAGAATTATAACATGCAAGCTGCATGATCAGGTCTCCTTTCGATTATCCAAAAATTCGTCAAAGACATAATATTTTGTTAATCCGGTAATATGAGTTACTTAAACTCAATTACTTCAACCTTACAATTCTCACATATACAACTTAAAATAAATTTCTAATCCACCTTAAAATGATTTTGAGAATTTTTTTAAGTCTTTCACTTACAAAAAAAATGGAACCGTAAAATCAGTACAAATCCAATATTTCTTACAAATGATATATCTAGCAAATATAAAAATGCTTGGGATCTATAATTGATGAAGGCAACCAAATAGAGATGAAATTTGAAAAATCTGATTTACTAAATGGGTGTTTGTCTTATACTGAAGAGAATACGGGTAGAAGAAAGGGATAGCTTTGCATTAAATTTCTAAATATCACAAATATATTTGCAGACTATGGTTTTATGCTATAAAAATTTTCATGGAAACTTGACAATACAGTATTAACAGAGTTAGAGAAGCTTTTAAGCCTACACCGAACAGAACAAAGAGAACTGGGACAAAAATGTGGTATAAAAGGTGCAATGACCCCTGAATTCAGAAATAAATGATCTCCTGTAGAAGCTGAGTAAATATGATGTCCTCGAGCTCAAGTGAAACACTCTCCGTGTCTAGCTGGAGGTTCATCCATCTCTGGTCAGCCTCCACATCCACCAACTTCCACACATCATAGAGCTCCACCAAAACCTCCTTCACCACATCAAAATCCACCACCTTCTTCTCAGCCCTGCCTTCTTCCACTGACTGCCATGTCATCGCATTCTCGGACCTGTCCAGCTTTTCTGCTTCCATTGGAAAGTATGTGCCTTGGATATCTGAACATAAGGAATTACATTTCTCCTTTTTCTCTTCCAAACCATCTAACATATCATCATTATTTGCAGTCGAAAGTATGCTATCCGAATCTTGATTAGGATAGTAAAAATCAAGGCTCGATAGAGACTGTATCCTTCTCAACTGTGTAGGCTCACGACTTGTGTATTCGCTTCTCAATTTCAAGCTCTTAGAGACATTCAGCATATGAGTATATTTAACGACTGACGACCCATCTACGCAAGCACGCTTTTCTTCATCATTAACATTTTGAAATTTGTTCTCTCTACGGAATGCCCAATTTTCTCTCTGTTTACTTTCGAGATTGACGGGCTTGAGCTTTCTTCCCGGGAAAGATTGCGATTTCGTCAACTTTTCTTTGTCGTCTTTTTGTAGGTGTTTCCTGAACAACTCTTTATCCACATTGAAAATGTCCAAGACCTCTCGAGTCGTGTGGTCAAATGGTTGACTGGTTTTACTGTCACGGAAGAAAGAGATGGAGTGTGTTGGATCTATGTGCATTCTGCTGATAGAGTCATCATCCAGAGATTGGAGGTGGTGTATGGAGTATGTTCTTTTTAAATTTGGTTTAGGAGATGAGCCCTTATTCTTTCGTCTTTCTTTCTTTTCCCTGTACGTCTTGTCAGCCATTGCTGCTCTTATGCGTGCCTTGATAGATAGTCTCTTTGCTGCGTCAAACTTGATCAATTGAAAAGAAAAATACTAGTTATTGATCAACTGAGTAGAAGTTGTTGTAAATAGAGATAATTTAATATTAACTCACAATGTAGGGAGTCTCGTTTTCAGATAGAAGCTTTTGTGCTTCATCGTTATCCGGGCAATAGGTTTTCCTCGAGATGGCTGTCAACACAAAATGTTCAAGTAAAGATGATCATTTGCTGGGACTAACCAAATATCAAGGGAGATGGAAGAAAATGCAGAGTTTAAGTTTTCTCATTATTATTGTTTATATTTTCTTGAAAAAGTGTGCGTACGTTTGACATTGTTTCGGTGTTGGTATATGTGCTGCTTTATCTTCTTCCTCATATTAGGGTGCCAATTGTGGTAATCAAGTGCATGGACTAATCCCCAAATGCAACCAGGCTGCCTGTCATCATCCCAAACTCTCCCTTCGAAATTCTTTACCATTATTAATCCAAACGACTCGCCTTATAATGTAGTCCTTAAAATCTATTCGACAACCATATCATCATGTTCTCCTGCATAGATTAATCCCAATATCACATGTACCATACGAACTTGCATTTTATGCAAACAACGAGATATTGGTGTAAGGTAAGAAGAAGGTAAAAAGTTACTCGACTTTCCTCAAGCTTTTTATTTTTTGAAACAACTGTGTTGTGATGCTCAGTTACCAAAACATATTGTTGCAATCACCACAATTTGAGCACCTCGGAATCAATCTTATATCCAAAAATAAGAGTATTCGAAGATCAAGAATAAATGGAAGAGACAAAGAGAAAATATAAGGCAACAAACAAAATTAAAGCACAACTAATCAATCAACACTCTTCAACTGACCACAACAAATCATTTTGAACCATAGAATAAATAAAGATCGTACAAAAGAAATATATATGTAACTGGAGAACTCACAACTCATCAATAGCTTCAAAGTCCAAAAGGTTGAGAGCGCACATAGATACAACTGAGTTTTAATATATATACCATTCAGTCCACAAATAAATATATTAATTTATTTATTTATTTAGTGTGGTTTAGTTTGCACTTGAATTAACGTGTACGATACACCAAAGACCGATTGAACTCTGTAGAAAACGACTTTATAAACCGGTCGCCTAAGCATTTACCCGTCAACCACTCCCTAATCTTATTATAATTTTGATTTCAATATATTATTATTATATTATAAGAATAATAAAAAAAATAGGTGAGCTAATATTTTGGATTTTGATGTGGTCGTCAATAGTGGTTCATGAAGGACCGGTTGTGATCCGGGTTTAGTGCAGCCAGCTAGGTGGGGTTCATGGTACCTCTAGAGTAGATGGGTGCTAGACGGAACCTATCTGAGCGTGAGTTAAGCGGAATAATAAGAGTGAGGAGGCAGGCAGAGGTGGTCGCCTAGGCAGTTAGGCACCTCGGCAGGTCGTCACCTAAGCGACTCGGCCAAAGGCTCCTATCAAGGGAACCAGAGCTTGGAGGTAGTCTTTTGAGGAGGTTCACAACCTCAAGGACTCTAAGGATTCAGATTCCTTTGACCTATGTAAGAGGTATATGCAAAGAAGACTTTTTGTCCTATCAGGAGTCCTCAGTTGCTTTAACTATAAAAGGAGCACAGGTTTATTCATTGACACAACACACACATACGCATTATCTCGTTACTCTGCCGTTTTCTCTTTGGACCACCACTGACTTGAGTGTCGGAGTGTTCGCGCCGGGACCACCCGACATGTTTTGCAGGTACCGACAATCAAGGAGACGCAACCCAGTTCGTAGAGGAGCGGTCCAGCGATTCAAGTATTTGTGGTACAACAAATATCCACAATATTTATTTTTCAAAATTTATTCACTATATATTAAAGGAAAATCATGTATTTAATTTAAACTATTTAGTTATATAAATAAGTATGAGTCAAATGGTAGTACCCAGTCATACCCGACGTACTTACTTTTCACTATGCTGAAAAATCAAGTCAACTAATTGAACTGGGGTTTCAAAATAAAAAATAAAAATTGGATGATTCTAAATAAATGTTTTGTAGTGATCAGGAAAGAATAAAGATCAACATTCAACAGGTGAATGACATTGATTTCATTTCATTTTATTTTATTTTTTTAATCAATGGACGATTATTTTTTAGTTATAGTAATCATCAAGCAAAAGTAAATCAGAGTTATTTATACAAAAATTTTTTGTCAGTCTTGCAAAGTATTGCAGTCGGTTTTTGACCGTTTTTATAAACAAGCAACTTATATCTTATTTGATTAGCGTAAGCTCTCTGTATTAAAATAAGTTTTTTTAGTAGGACAAATTTTTTTAAAATGTTCAAGCTTATTTGATAAGCTTCTTTAGGTAGCTTTTCAAATAAGTTAGTCGAATTTTTTATTTCAGCTAACTTATCGGCTAATTTTACTATACACTTTTATCATATTATAATCTAACTTTTCATCTATAAATCATAAACTATAAGTTACAAGCTCAAAAATTACTGATGAAGACGAGACCGCCATTGCGTATCTGAATAAATATGACCGTCTTAGGGTCT